AATTAAGTTTAAAACACCAAACTAGACTCAAAAGATGCAATACAAACTAAAAAGACTCAAAACTAGTTTAAAAGACTCAAAACAGCTTAAAACAATGAATTAGACTCTAAACTGACTCTAAGGATGGGTTTGGACGAAATTAGGTTCTAACTTGACTCAAGACACTTAAAAACACAAATCAAAACAGATTTTGACTAATAAAACACTTTAAAGTAAAGGGGGATTGGATTTTGACGAATTTGAAAACAAAACAAACAGATTGTAAGCTAAAACAGATTTTGGACAAATTTGGGTAAACTATGGATGATGGGCTAGCTAGAGGGTTCTTCTCCACACATGACACACTTGCACATAAACCAATTTTCAGTTGTTCTTTCGATGAATCATGAAACTCAACACCCCAGGTTAATTAAGTCTGCTTAAATTAACCTTCAAGTTCTCCTTAAGTTATTGAAATGGATGGGAAAACGCATACAACAATTCAAGCATTCTTCAAAAGTCCTTTACGTGAACAACACAATAAAGAAACAATCAAAGATCATTAAGCATTATGAAAACTATAAGTATTGACGAGGCATTCGTTACTATGATAAGCATGAAACTCCTGCCAAGAATTCATTTAATGCAATCGTTTATAAGCGACCTCCACTACTTGTGAATATAAGTTTGTAACTATTAGGTGAAACTCCCTTATACTCTAGCATCATATTCATGCATGCAAACTAAGTGTGCACTCTTAATAAACATACACGAATAAGTTATCAATCAAGCAGTTAAACAAATTGAATTCATAACTTATGAAATCACAACTGAAGGTAATCAATTCATATTGCAAGTATGTTCATGGCTTTGAATTCCCCCCTAGCTAAGGGGGGTTTAGTTCCTCATACTCACAAAGCAAAGATAAACAAATTTAGACATTGAAAACAAAAGAATAAAAACACCTAAAAATGCTCCAACAATCCAACTTGAATGGCAAGCACGTCCAAGGGTCATCCTTCTTCTCTTTGTTGCGGCACAAGGTGTGGTTTGATGGATGCATATGGATATATGAAAGGGAATGGCTGAATGTGTTTAGGTTGGATAGAGGTCACGGCAAGGAAAGAGAAATGAAGGTGCATGGAATTGTGTTTTTATTATGGGAATGTGTAGAATGGTTAAGAAGAAAAGACTCTGCCTTGCGGCATAATGTGTCTTCCTCCCTTCTCCCTAAACTATCCCCCCCAAATGGGTGTTTGGATGGATATATTTATAGGCTAGGGAGATGATGTAGTGGGTGGTGGAAATGAGTGGATGTGTTGGGTGAAATGAGTGGATGTAGTGGTAGGTGAATGGATGTGTTGGGTGAAATGAGTGGATGTAGTGGTAGGTGAATGTGTTGGGTGGTTGTAATGAGTGGATGTGTGGTAGGTGAATGTGTTGGTGTGTTGTAATGGTGGATGTGTTGGTGAATGAGTGATTGTGTTGGGTGATGAATGGAGTGAGTGTGTGGGTGAATGGTTGTGTTGGGTGAAATGAGTGGATGTAGTGGTAGGTGAATGTGTTGGGTGTTGTAATGAGTGGATATGTTGGGTGAAATGAGTGTGCTAAAATGGTTATTTATAGGGAGAGGATGATGCACAAACTTCAAATTTCGTCCATTCCTTTTGCTCCAAGCATATGTTATCCATTCCATGCCCAAAAATGCTCCAAAATGCACTTCTTTGCCACATTAACCCTTTGGACCTACAAACACACGAAAATAGCTTAAAATACTAAAATAACTATGAACTAACAACATAAATGCCAAGAAACAAGCTAACTAAGTCGCATAAATATGCTCCTATCAAGCACTGTTGCTGTAGAATCAGCCGATCGCGAAGCACCTTCAGTTTGGATAAACAGCATTGCGTCAAGGCCGACTGGTTATCTATCCAAGTCTCAGTCGAGAAGGGTTTTCAAATCCTTATTGGCAAAGGTCATCTCACTAGCCTTCTCGGCGGGGTGAGGTGTTACAAGTTACTAGGCTAGGCACATTGAACGCCAAGTTGTTTTATGATAAGATATTCGCAAGTGTGTTTTAAAGTTCAGCATTCTGACGACTGGACCACATTCACCATTAAAACATACATCTCTTTTGAGTACTTGTGTCCATATAGTCTGGTGTCGATGTGCTTATACTCTTACGAATATAATCACTGTGACCAAATTCGGCGCCGATGATTTGTGAACTTCGCAGAACTAACAGTCTTGTCTTAAGGCTCTAGAACCTAAAGGCCGAGACGTGTTCCTTCCTCGGCCACAGTCGCAAGATTCAGAAGTCAGTAGTGCACCCAATGCAACATTAACAAATTTTACTCACCGGCCGAGCTCGGCAGACGAGTTGGCACGCCCCGCATATAACCAAAAGACATAGTTAGCTCATTAGTTACTCGGTCTTCGCGCTACATAGGTTTGGTAGTTTTTAGGGTCAACAGTACTACATAAACATTACATTTTATATATCTTTCATTATTTTCATATCATGTTGGAGTTTCTTGTGATTGCTGATTTTATGATTGTAATTCTGGGGATAATATTTGTGCATTAAGATATGATTCCCTTTAGTTCTTCATGGATATTAGTTTTTACTGAAACTTGTAATCGTGGATTTTGTTAATACTAAACTCATGGCCATTTAAATATGTTCTCATATCAACAAGTATTTGTATTAAACAAGTGTTGGCTATAGTGGGAGAATGTAAGTCTAATGAGAGCTGCACACTTGTTTAGCACGTGCATGAGGGATTGAGATCATAAGAGTTTATATATGACAATACTTGTTGGTTATTAAGGAATGTATAAAGACTAAAATATAACCTAAAGAAGTCCCGGTGCAATTGGTGTTAACCATTCTGGTATGGATGCTTTGGATATTAGTGATAAGGGTTATCAAATTGATGACTTTGATAAGGATTACATGATGGGAAGTATCCTTATTAAAGACCATTGTTTACATTATAAATAAAGGGTCCCTACTCTCGCACAATACGCGCAAACAGAAATATCAAGCCCCATTGATTGACAGTGCATACAGATAGTGTTGAGAGGAGAAAAACCTTTTATTTTCTGCTACTATGAATTCACAAGGTTAGTGGTTAATTGGATATGTTGAGTTCTTTCGTTTCCACTATATTTAAACTTACATTGGCTACAATACTTCATGTATTTAATACAATCATTATTTGATGATCGTATGTAACTCATATGAATATATGTGTTTAATACAATTACCATTAGAACCGTCGAGATGATTATTATATTAAATACATATAAATATTATAGTCAAATTCCTGAAAGAAGTAGTGATTAACCAATTTCTCGTATGTCCTTGTATAAGCCAACGGTGAGAGAATGAAGATGATTGCATCAGACTTACGATTTATCTCAACCCAAGTACTCCAAACAACAAGCTTTAAAACAAATCACAAGCCTAAATCATGAGCAATACGGTCCCCACTGATGACTTAGAGGAAACAGAAAGCTTATAACAATGGAGAAAACTATAAAGCTAAGAAGAAGCTATCGAAGAAGTAAGAAAGGTAGAGAGAAGGACTTATTATATTTCTTTATTCACAACACAGATGATCCTTAGTCTTACATTTCAGATTATATATGGTATTCTTATCAGCTGTACTATTACAAAAATACCCTTCAACTACCTCTTCTTATCACAACCGAACTAACCAACAATACTAACTAACTCATTAGTTCTAATCACCCACCTACTAGCTAAAGCTCTCTAAAGTGATACAAATTAAGGTTACAACCTTAATAATAGGCCCCGACACCACCTAAAGTAATAACCAAAACTCGGTAGAGTCCCTCCCCCTAGGATCATGCCCATCATGCAGGCTATTACAAACCGTTCTGTTTTTTTTTTTTTTTTTGAAGAAGAAGAAGAAGAAGAAAGTGACAGACATACAACTTCGATGCCATGCCATTTGTGACTTGAAGGGGAAATAAAAAAATTTAAAAAAAAAATTTCGTCACAGATTGCGTAGCGTACATGATAAGATAAGAGAAAAATATATATTACGCGTGAAGTATTGCATGAAAAGAGTAGTGACCCCTTAATCGTAAAAGGGAGTGTCAAATAATTAAGATTGCCATATATATGTTGAGAGTGTCCATAAGAAAAAGAAATGCTCGTAGGTTAGATATTTATCCCTAGACATGTGGCACAAGCACTATCGCATCATATCGACAAGTCTACAAGGATCATGTGGATCTATATGCAGCATGATGTATAATTTGTGTTCCAACAATCCTTTTGGTCTTCCTGATAAGATAAAGCACAACTTTAATCAATTAGTTGTGGTAGTGCTTCTTTCATCTTCGATATAACATCACAATCAAGGTTACGATTATGATTGGCATCTGTCACCGAACACCATTTTTATTACTTATAAACTCGGTTAACGTTTATAGGAAAGCGATTGTTATTCCTATTATCTTAATTGGATCGTCTGGTGTATAATCTCCTTATGGGGGAGGCATAAAAGGATGGATTGAGGAAATAAAAACTTAGAAATTGAAAGAACTTGTAATTGTCTTTAGAATTTAACTTTTAGTGTTCACTTCAATTATAGTTTTTTTACACATATTTTCGCCAACCATCCTTCCTCAACACGTGCTCTTCATCCTTCTCTTTTTTCATTCTCCCATAAAATTAAGAAACATAATCGAAAAGGTTACCGACCAAGACTGTTTTTTTTTAATATAACGAAATAAAATTATAATTATATAAAGAGGATGAGAGATTTGAGTTAAGCTACATAATAGGTCAAAAAAAAAAAATTAATATTGAACTCGTCAAAAACAAGATTTGAACAAAACAAATTTACCACTTATAGGTCGAAAATAAGATTGTTAGATCGTAAAATTAAGTGACTACCGAGCAGAACTCTTAAGCGTACAGTCTAGCAGCTATTGGATGGAATTGGATGAGCTTGAAGGGAATAATTTGTAGACGATGGGAGTTTTAAAACAATATCTTGTGCTCAACTGAGTAGTAGGGTTTTTTTTTTGGAAACTAGAAATGTATAACCAGGGCGAACAAGCCAAAGAAAGTACAAAGAAAGCCTCCAAAGACACCAACACACTAGATAGCAACAAACGCAAAGTAGTGAGGGGTTAAGAGTAAAGACAATCGAACCAAGTTCGAGTGTCACCCCGACAACTAACTAAAAAATCAATGGGAACAAGGTAAGCCGTCTTTGTTGAGAACATGAACCAACGAAAATGGGGCCCTGCTGACCCAAACGAGATCGCACATCTCTGTACAACTACACGACGCTAAGGAATGCACCACCATATTGGTTAATCTTGAAATCCAAGACCAACGACAATCCTGAAAGACCTCCCCAAGCCGTTTAGCGACGGTTAAAGTAGGGTCAGTCTCCCAGCTGCCAGCTTCCAAGAAAGATGATAAAGAGGAAATCAACGCCTGCGAATCAGATTCAATGATGAGACACTGGTAGCCCAAATCCGTAGCCAACTGACATACCCGCAAAATAGCCAAAGCTTCAGCCGCAAGTGCTCAAGTGTTTACAGTTAATGGTTAAGGGATACATGATGGATCATGAGCCATGACATGTTTGTCGCACATATGGAACTCTGTCATTTGGCAGCAGAAGGTCAGTGGTTCCCACGTTTCCAAACACATGCAGGCCAAAATTAAAAAATACTATCGGGGCCCTACCCTCCCTACCTTGAACTCTTCTAAATTCAACTTCAATTATTAAAGCCATGTCCACCGACACCGACGAATTTTTTGTCACAATTTTTTTTATTTTTCAATTGCCAACGTGGTTTTCCCATTACTCACAAAATTGATGAATTGTATTGTACCATACACAAAACACGAAGAAAACGAGTAGAACAAAATTTTGAAACTATATGTAGGTATATATATAAATGATGTATAGGTTCTAACTTTTATACATGACACTAAAAAAACTTCATGATCTCATCTAATGTTAGAGTTATGTGTGAAAGGATTTTCTTATACCCTATATATTTTGGACGAGGGATTTTCAAAGTACTAAAAAATCATAAATGTCAAAAATATGTTGTAAAAGTACTATCAATTATGTGCATGTTGTCCAATATTGTAGTAAATAGAAGTTTCTATCTATGCATCCTTTCAACTCTCACAGCTTTCTTTAATAATAATAAAATAAGATAAAACAAAAACTCTCTCAGCTTTTCTTAATAATAATAAAAATAACAAAATTACTATCAATGGACTATCTCATGCACTATACATTTACACACCATGGAGACACTAAATAAAAGACTTTTATACGACACCTTTCAATGAGTCATTAATTTGGATTCTCTTAAATGTAATGTATCTAGTCATTTTCAAATTACTCCCATTTTCTAAAACTTTAAAATTTCTCGTCCAAACACACTAATTATTTTAGAATAATATTAAGAAGATCAAATTTTTTAAATCAATTATGATGTGGTTATTGATGATTAGATTATTACTTAACCGTTGATTAACGTGCTTATTTTCGATTGATGATATATCATTTGGTTTAAAATTTTGATCCCCTAGCATTATTCATTATTTTATGGTTTTTTTTTTCACTTTTAATAAGAATATTTGACTTTTGCTAACACAGCTGACAGCACATTTACAGTTCATAGTATGACTAAAGGGAAACTGTACAGCTACAGATTACTAATTATCAGCTAACATATACTTCTCCAAACAAACAGACAATACTAATTAATAAGACCCAATTTTTTTTCTTAAAATAACATTTACATAATAAGAAACTTAACAACTTGCTTTCAACACACTGTACAATATCAACCCCCACCTTCATTTCTTCCAATAACAAAACGTAAGAACAAAAATCAGAGAAAATAAATTCGAAATATATATAACAAAATCATGAACAATAAAAACTTTGAAATTAAAAATAAAAGAAAATATATCACACACCTTTTCCTTTTTCTTTCTTTAATTTTTCAATTAACCACTTTCCCCTCACACAGTCCATTTCCAGATCTTGACTCGAAGATTAACCTTACACTTGGCGTTGGAGGTAGACGCAGTGGCAGGAGCTTTAGCAGTAGGAAGAGAAGTGACCCTAATCCCGTCACACTTAACCCTAATCCCCATTTTCGGAGTCTTTAACCCGAAAACCTTCACTCTTACCCTGGTGTCCAACCTCATCCTCAACGGCAGCCCGTTTTTGCTCTTCATTTCAGCCTTCAAAGTGCTCACTTCGCTGCTATCGAGGTCTTTGCCGCTGCTAGAAATTTTAGCCTTCAGCAGCGTCGTGTTCTTCTTCCCATGCACGAAGGCGGGAATGACTCCGTCGGCGACATCTACGTCGTTAGAATAGATGGAGACAGCGATGGGGTTGTAGAAGAAGACGAGTTTCTTGTTAGGGTTTCGAGCAGTGATGTTGAGGTTGAAGCTGGAGGTGAGCTGGTTGTTGGTGGTGATGTTTAGGGTTTGGAGTTTGAGGGCGGTGACGGAGAAGGTGGGGCGGTGAGGGCGGTAAAGGACGTAGAAGACTGCGCCAAAGATGGCCGCAATGACAAGTTGGAGGAGGATGATGAAGATGATCCAGAGGCAGCAGGAGCAGCAGCGGCTGCGGCTGCGGCGGCGGTGGTGTGGTTGGGGACGGTAGGCTGGGCGCGTGTTGCTGTAGAGTTGGGCCTTTGTGGCGGGGAAGGCGGGGTTTGTGGCGGTGGGAACGGCGTCGGTGGGGGGTTTGGCTGCAGGGTAGACTCTGTCAGCCATTGTGTGTTTATGGGAGAGAAGGAATGGGAAGGTGTTCGATAGTTTTTGATAGATAATACTCAAAGATAGGGGGACGAAATGTTCGCTTGGTTCAGAAAGAGAGGGATTTTGAGAGAGAGAGAGAGAGAGAGAGAGAGAGAGAGAGAGAGAGAGAGAGAGAGATGGGGTGGGTAGGGTGATGTAAGGTGGAATAGCGCAATTGAAAAAGGCAGTGGCAGCAACTTTATAACTAAAGCCTAATTAGAATCTTTAGATCATACCCACACTTCTATCTCGGCGCGTGGAGAAGAAATTATGTAAAAGTAATTTTTTTTAAAAATATTTTTCTTCATTCGCATATTGTAAGTAATAAGTTTTATACTCTATTATGTGAATCATGAGTTTGATACCACATTATTATGTTGAACTTACTTGTGAATGATAATTTTTTGTGATATTTTTTTTCAATTGTAAATACAGATTAACTCAAATCTATCAAAATTTATAATGTGTAAAGTATCACCGAATAAAAATTAAAAAATAATATTTTTACTTACTTAATTTTCGTTAAAACTGTACTTTTGGATTTTGCAATGACATGATGTGCTTTGCACACGTTTCTAGTGCTCTACATTCTCTTGATGGGGAACTTTACATGCCCTTATATATTTTAAAGAATTGTTTTTTTTTAAATAGACAACTGGTAGCAAGTCACAGTTATCCACCTCTTTTGGGAACCGAAAAGACTTATAAAAGCATTTCAGCCTCCCCATGACTACAAGTCTAGCTTACCATATTTTTAATACATATTTGTGCCACTTTTCTAATAGAGATAAGGCCTACAACACATGTAATTCAATTGAGATTTTAAAAGGATTTTAATGAATTTATAAATAAATTTTGATGGAGTTTAATTGAATTCCCCTCAAATTCTCAAGGGAGAGATGAAACTTGAGACTGCTTAAAATACACTGTGAAATTTCTCAAATTCCCAGCCTTTTGAAAAAATTTAAATCAATTTCTAATTGCATACACCTGAAATGTTATAAACTCCTTTAAAATCATGGTTGAATTGCACCTAAACTTTTAGATAATCACTTAAAATCTTGATTGAATACCTCTAGGTTTGTAAAATGAATTAAAATCTCTCAAAATCTCAATTGAATATACACCCTCTTAGAGCTTTGTAAGTTTGCGTATACGTTTGACTTACAAATTGAATGCTAGCATGTGTGTGTTTATATATATTTTATTTAAGTAAAAGTAATTTATGAATAAAGTTGAGATTCCACCATAAAGTTAATCTGCAACATGGAGAGTAGTCAATTTACTTATAAGACATAACCCACAGGTCCTTCATCCCATAAATGTAAGATTCATTCTCAACACGCCCCATCACGTATGGCGAATTTTCAAATCTAATACGTGGAAAACACAAAAGGGATAACGTGGAGCCCATGGGGTTGTTGAGCTTCCCACGCAGGACAACTTTTTCTAATACCATGAAAAGTTGAGGTTATACCATAAAACTAATTAGCAATATAAACAGTATCTTAACTTACTTATAAATCTATGCAAAATTTATTCTCTCATTAACATAAGATTTATTCTCAAACTAAAATAAGAGGAGTTCACGAATGAGAGATCCTTCAAACCAAAATAAATCACATATGAGATAAAAGCCAATTTAACTAATCTATTTGCCACAACGTTAAATTGGTTGGGAATTATGGTGTGCACCTAACGCGCCTGGATAAAGTGAAGAAAACGTATGCACAGATATTTCCACTTTACCTGCTTTGGATTGGTCTCTCCCACACACACACACAAAAAAGCTGGGTATGCGTGGGGCACGCGTGAAGTTGATGTTCACTGTTTATCATGGAAGTGGAGGACAAATTCTCCACGACGCAGATTTATCGTCTACCTGTTTGTATATAGTAATCATATTTCTGTATAACCTGTTGGCAACTAGTACAGTCATTACCATCCAACCGACACAGATAGAAAATATAGCAGTCATCATAAGCAGGTAAGGTCAACCTTTTTCTTTATGTTTTTTTTCATCACAAAGATAACTTTTATTATATTAAAAATTAGTACAATACTTAAAAAGAACCAGGTAAACAACTATGTAGAAAGTAAAATGCCTAAGCAAAATGAGAGTGGAACTCAAGATACAACGGGAAGCTCACACAAGTTTAGGCTTGAAGGCTGCAAAAACAAGCAATAAAAACTAGGGGTGGTTCGGTATGGGATACCATACCGAAACTAGTATCCCGAATCCCAAACTGAAAATTTTCGGGACGGGAATTTGAAAACCATTCCCAAACCAAATTTTTGGGAATCCCAAATTTCGGGAATCTCGAAATATGTTTGGGATTTCTGGACAAATCGGGAATCCCAAATTGAAATATGAAATTATGAATTGTTCTTCAAATGTATAATTCAAGAACACATTCATGAACTAGGAATGTCATTTCATTCACACTACCATTTAATCGAACACTGGCATGCCTGACTGTTTTTATTAGAGTCAAAATTCAAATTAATTAAACCCTTTTTGCAATCTATTGAGAGACAAAAAAAATCAAGTCTTCTGAAATTATTAGCCATGGTAACAGCAATAATAAAATCCAAATTAATATCAAACAGAACATGAAAAATATGCAAGGTGTAGGGCATTCCAGGTTGCAGAGTATGAATTAGAAACTACTAGCATCAATTTTAAAAGAATAATATATATGTATAAATATATATGTATATAATAATTAATATTATATATTTTCGGTTCGATATGGGATTCCCGAAATATCGAGAAGCCAATCCCGAATCCCGTACCGAAATTTCAGGATCGGTTCAGGATAGCATCCCAAAAATTTCAGGAATTTCGGTTTGGGATTGGAATTTTTTCGGTTCGGTTCTGGATTTTTGGGAATTTTTTCCACCCCTAATAAAAACCCTACTCTCTTGCAGCATAGACCACACTGTCGTCGCCGTCATCGTCACATTCTTGGAGGAAGCCAAACTCCAAACCAAGAAAGTAGACACCATATCCAAGTCTCCTTCACAAACCCTACAAATATATACAAACAAAGTAACATAAGTGTAGGGAGTGAGGATAGGGGTATGTAAAATACTCAACACTTGGCCATGATGGGGATCCAGCATGCCAGTTGGGGGAAGGGAACTGAGGGAGAGAAGTAGATCTGATATCTAATTTCTTATCGGAGCTCGCGATCCGAACACATGGTAGGATGGGGATGAAGTATCACAGGTCACAGATAGGGAGGGGAGGAATGAAAATTAAAAGACAAAACAATAACAGCAGGTGAAAAATGTCGGATAAGGGGCATGAAGCTCAGGATATATGAGACTCGGGTCAAGGAAAATTGAGATTAAACTTAGGGGAGAACCGAGAATAAAAAAGGAAGGATCCTCATTTTTTTTTTTTCAAAAATTTTGGGATTAGTTGTGGCGCCTACATCATGTCGAATTTCAACGATTCAAACAGTCTATTTTTCAAGTTGCACCTCATAGATCATTATTACAGGTTATTAGCCAAATCGGAAATATTTGAGGCATCTACTTGAGTTCAAATTTTGGGATTAGTTGTGGCACCTACATCATATTGAATTTCAACGATCCAAATTGTCTATTTTTCAAGTTGCACCTCATAGATCATTCATTTAATTGAGTTCAAAAAAATTGACGAACACTATCATTTTTTTTTTGTCAAACAACATATTTTGTTAGATTAGGTATTAGATTAGTCACCGACGGGAGTTCGAACTCATGCCCTCATGGAAGGACTTAACTCTTTTCCACCACTATAAAAAAAGGACCACTTGCTCACATCTGCATATTCCATATATTTACGTGTAATATTCTATGTTTGTGCATTTAACATCGATGCATTTATCTACATTTAATAAAATCATAACCATTTGATTTATTTAATGAATTCAACTATCTCACATCTACGTAGTCATCATTAAATTGAAAATTCACCTTCTGTACAGTATCACTTACACCGTTCCATCCCAATTCACAAACCCTAATGATTCAGTTTTCCTTTTACCATCCCTACGACTCCTATCGCACTTTACAAATTCTTGTTCCAGATTTCCATGGCTGCAACTCTCTTTCCGACAGTCCAACATCTCCAACTCCAACCTCTGCTCCCTCCTTCCTCGTCAGTCTCACCTGCACCAGCCTCTTACTGAAATCACCCGCACCGATGTTAAATGTAGAGAATCGGATAAATTTACCATGTATATGTTTTTGCTTTTGCAGTGTTGAGAACAGATAAATTTTCCTTCATCAAACCTAACACATACATGATACATCAAACTGGCAAGCTAACGTGGTTAAAACTTTACCCTCGTAAAATCACTTACGAAAAATTCGATAACGGGAAAGCATTCATCCATGCATGATTAATCATAATGAATATCTTTGTAATCCTTTGTTAAGATAATGAACAAAATTACACCAAGAACAACCATTCTATTTACGATTCAACAAACTCTAAAAAATCTGTAATGCTTGTTCAAATACAGATGTTGATCTGCATATTTCAACTCATTAGTCAATAGCCATATGTATATGAAAATACTATAGAGATCAAAATTTTAGACCATCTTTTTTAGATTACATAATGTGGCAGTTGATGGTTTGACTCATTTTTAATGATTTAAAGGAGTCCAACCATCAATCATCATATCATGTGGTTATAAAAGATGGTTTAGGAATTTGAGCTCTCTAGCATAACTCATACATACAAACATATATATATATATATATACATATATATATATATATTTACGTAAATGCGACATATCAAGTTATTGACACACAAAGTCGAACTACCACCTCAATATGTCCCCATTATATAGTGTAAAGTCTGATTTATTGTCTAATGAATGTGTTGAAAATGTCTAATAACCTCTTAACAACTCCAAGGAGCCCAACAACAATGCTTGCAACTTACGTATTGATACTACAACTCATTGACAAAATGGAAGTCAAGCACTACCCAATTAATTAATTATGTCTTGATCACCTTGCCTAGCTAGAGTAACTTATTTCCTTTTGTTTAACTTGTCCTTGGTGTTTGTATTGATTTCTCTCCAAATAAGAAACAATAAGAAGATTTATTTCAAACCTCCACAAAAACAAAAATCCCATTTACTTACA